TGCCAGATGACCCCGCTCGGATCGCCGCCCACCGGAGCAGCAGTGACGCTACGCTCGGCGAGGTAAGTAAGAAGAAACCTGACCAGCTCGAGACGCTGACTCGAGTATAAGCCGAGGGGGGCACTTTTCAGCAAAAAAAATGGGCTGAAAAACTCGGCTTATACTCGAGTATATACGGTAACACCCAGAAATGTGGGCACAACTATTAATTGGGTTAATGCCCAATTATACAACAAAATGCTTAATGACTTTAATTACACACTGAAATACCATGCACATTATATTCAGCTGAACACTGCATCTGCCACTGTATATTCTGAGCATTATTTGTGTTTATTGTCCTTATAAAAAGCCAGACTTTTTATTCTATTTTATACAGAATTACCTTGTTTCTAGCAATATAGCAGAATATGTCACGCCGCAGCAAGCGTCTGAGCACTCTGGATCAGGAAGATGACAAGAACAGCACTAGCAGCATGGACAGTCATATGTTGTATAGAGACAGTCCTGTCAGGTTAGTATTTGTCTTGTGATCTTTCTATGTGGAATATCTTTTCCCATGCAGTGCATTTGTCCAACTACACTTCATTAATCATTTGGCTTGTTAGATGTGTACATGAGCATTTTTTTAGCAAGACAATTTTTAAAGCAAAAGGCATAGAGCAGCCCCCACTGTCACATCCTGTGGTAGGCAGAGAGGAAACCGTACTAACACAGGAAATTGTGTGGTCTTTAGCATCACTCATAATCACTGCTATGATATGCACAAAAACAAGATGTAGCCATCTCTTCTCTCTTGTTTCTGAGTCACTGCTTCCTTAACATTAATATAAATGGATTTTTGTGTATTCTTTAGCAGATAAGCACACATTTGCACATTTATAAACAGATTTAGATAAAAACTTTAGCCTGCATTCACACCTGGGCGACAGCATCTTTGCGCGTAGAAATTAGTGTTTTGTGTAGCACATTCTTGCACATTTTTACGAGTGTAAAGGCGCATACATACAGTTGCGTGTTTTTGCAAGCAGATTGGGACTCATTGATGTGACAAATGCACGTTTTATGCACAAAAAAACACGCAAGAACGCAGCAAATGCATTTTTGAGCTTTTTCATTGAAGTCTATGGGGCCAAGAGGCACAGAATCTCTCAAAAAGAAACCCAAGTACTTTCTTCAAGCGATGGGCGTTTTGCTACAAGCGACAAAACACTCAGATGGGGGTGTTTGTTTTTTTCTGTGTTTTTTCGAGCAGAAAAAGCACTAAAAAACGTTTAGTGTGAATGAGGGCTCAATGTACGAAGCTGCAAATATCACAGAGGGGCTATAACTAGTTACAGTAAACTCCCCATTATGAGGCATTCAAGCAACCAGAAAAAAAAAAATCGAGGATATATGTCCTCATTTTTTTGTCAGTTGCTTGATAGACATGTGCACACTAAAAAATGTTGTGAAATTCTCCGTTTACATCTTGCTGCGGCCGACGGCTAGATTCCGCAGCTGGCAGGTGAATGTAAACAACGGGCAGTGGGCGTGTGCAATAGCTAACCTACTATTAGCTATGGCCATAGCAGAATCTAGCCAGCAGATAAATCGGAAGGGGGGAGGGAGGATGTTGCTTAAGAGTTAATAGTAACTCTCAAGCAACCAGAAACTACAGTTATCCGGCATCTACCATGGGTTCTGGATAGCTGGGAGTTTACTGTATATGTTTTTAGAAGCTACTGTGGATAAATGGCATAAAAAGAAATTACAGCCATTCATGTGTACTTTATTAGTATTTTAGAACGATTATATAAAATAAGATCCCATGTAATAAACAGTTTATCCATAAAAGGGAAATTCAAGGATTTTTGGTTGCCTGCTGTTGCAACACAGCAACACGGAGTGATCTCCTCTTCTTTTATACCATCAGTTTCTGCACTCAGCAGCTGAAATCTGGTATTGTGGCTCAACCAACAAGAAAATAAAACGTAAATGCTTGCAAAACATGTGATGGGGAAACACATCAGACTGCCAAATGTGAAGCACAGTTAGACAAGATTCCTGGTATTACCCAAGTCATTGACCTTGCTGCATATTGGTCCAAAGCCTAGGAAATATTTTTACAAATTGTCTATTATACAGGAGTACAAGGAGGAAAGTGACCACCATCAAACGAGCTCCTACCCCCCACCAGACCACTGAGCATACAAACTACACTGAGACATCTACATATATTAATCGGGACCGCAGTGGTTTGTCTTCAGCCCTAAAGGAAACAGACTATGAAGGATCTACATGGGGTAATCATACATGTGCTATTGTTGTCAGAAATTGATTGATTAAATTAATTTTTGTTATAACATAAATTAAAAGTAACATATTTCAGGGCTCTAATTATTATCAGAAATATATCTTGGATAAGAAAAGATGATTATAAACTATCCCTAATATATATAGTTTACCACCACACACTCATCACTACTTTTGTTAAAAATCATTAAATTACCAACATTATGTTCATAGAAGCCATCTTTTTAAGATTTTCTTGCAACCACATTAGCCAGTGGACACTAATATACAGGTCTGAGTTCAACTCCATAGATTATAGAGTTCTCAATTGCCATGTGCCAGTCAGTATAAGTTTCTGATCCTTGTTCTGTGATCATCTGCTCTTACTGCTAATTGATTAGTCAGATTAGTTAAGTTTAAAGGCTGGCCATTGGCTGGCATGGATTTGTGGAAGGAGACTGGCCCTTAAATACAGCATGGCTTGCCATGCTAGTACGTCGGCGGGTTCCGGGCATTCTGATCAGGGTTCACGTACGTTTCAGCAAGGACTTCCGGGTCGTTGGTCTCTCCTGGCAAGCCGTCATCAAGGTGGCAGGGTAAGTGCGGGAAGCCGCGTTCCGCCACTTCCCACGCCAGGATCCACGAAGGGCTATAACCGGCGCTCAGCAGTGGGCAGTGGACCCGCAAGGTACCGTCATCGGCAGGATCAATCGATCACCTGGTGGATTCGTAGGGGCACGGTGAGGGGGAGGAAAAGGGGGAGAGCCGCAGCATTGGCATGGGAATGTGGGGTTTTCATGGTCAATTTCAATTCATGTGTCACAAGATAAATGCATATACTTTTCCTAGGTTGCCACACAATGTCATATTGTTAGTAGACTCTAGGTGTCACTGGTGCTGCAGTAGCTCATTCCAGGCTACAAATGCAATGAGCAATTTCAGTGGTTGCATGTGAGTTTCTACTCTTCATATGAAGAAAAAAAACAAACCTTTTTTTGCTTGATGGCTATGTCGGTATATTAGATAAGTGCATTGGGGTTAATACATACAGGGTGGTGTTTATGCACATGCTAGACAGGTCACAAGGCAAGGCCTTTCTGTTGTCTGCTATTAGTATTCATCTGGTAGTTTTCATGGAAGTACATGGTAATCTTTTTTCTTATTTCATGGTAGACCAACTAATGCCCAATCTGAGAAAGACACAAGAAAACCTACTGCCCCCCTACCTTCGCTTGACTGGTAACTTGTACTTGAATGACCTGATGGCTGAGACTTCTCAGGGAGGTTCATTCATTCAAGTACAAGTTACCAGTCAAGCGAAGGTAGGGGGGCAGTAAGTTTTCTTGTGTCTTTCTTCTTTCGTTTCCATCAGATTGGGCATTAATTGGTATATTTAAGTACATGAAAATTTTAGGTATTTTCATTACACATTGGTTAGTACACGACTGTTTTAGCACGACACGATTGGTCTTTTAGGTAAAAAAAATATATACTGTGTGTGTGTGTGTGTATATATATATATATATATTACAATGACCTTACGGGCTGAGAGGCTTTATTCAATACTTGGCCATTAACTAATTGTACGATATTTATTCAATACTTGTAACGTTGCAAGTTCTCGCCTGTATAAACCATAGGTCATTCGGTCTGTTTTCCACAAATCTCATTCATATTATTTTACCTGCTACGTCAGCAGGTACGTAAGCCCTGAGTGCTCGTTTTGTAATTGACCTGTCACGTCTCAGGTTAAACTTGGGCTCGTTTACTCTCATACTTCAGTGGAAATGACAAAAATACGTTTTCAGACTCGTTTGGCATTTTTTCTTTACACAAATAGCTTGTCTAGTGTCTGGTGTTTTCACTATATTAATTTTCGAGCACCTGGGTGATTGCTAGTTACGGGTCATAACTTGTATTTATGTTGGTTGCTTTCAGTTATCATGTCTCAACCATCGGATATTGAGGAATTTTCATTCATTCCTCCAGAGGTTCTGAACAGGGTAGCATCCCATCCCTCAGGACATGGACTGTGCCAAAACTTACGGCGGAGCTGTTGAGAAGAGGCATCTTTTGGAGCTGTTGAAATAGTTTTTTCCCAGCTCCTCACAAGCCAGGCCTTCTACGATTACAGAATACGCCTCTCTCAACACATCCCTGGTTCAGATTCATGCGGCCCTGAACAACCTCACCTCGTCCATTCAGGATTTACAGACCAGGATGGAGGCGACTGAGAAACGTCCTGACACTCTCCAAGTAGCTGGATCTGCAGGGCCTTCGGCGGCTCCGGTAGCGCTTTCAGGTACTATAACAACCCGATTGCCAACAGCAAGTCCTGTCCAGGGTGCTGGTGCACCTGCAGTAGCACCAATTTATTTTGTCCCCCCAACATTAAGAAGGACATTTTGGAAGGTAAGGATGTTAATTTAGCATTCATGTTAATCGCTGCTCATGATGTAACTGAAAACGAGGCTTTCGTCTGTGGGGATGTGTCTGTGGTGACCAAGGACCAAGGATCCCAGGCTTAGTCGCAAGCTTTCTCTGGCGGAATTTGTCTTGGAATTCAGTTTAATTCAGAGATGTTTTATGTATTACCAGTCCCCATAGAAGGGAGGAGTTGGACATCTACCTTTTTTATAGGGTGGTGGATCTGGCACATAAGTATATGGGGTCAGCCTTCTATGACTACCACAGATCTTTTTCGGCCAAAGCGGCAGCCATATGGGCTCAATTTCAGGTAGTTACAAACTGGAGCAGTATAGACATGGAGCTTTTGTGCAGGCATTTTGCTAGCCTGAAATCCCTGGTGTGTGCGACATGTCTGTCTCCTGCACATACTACCGCCTGGTGCCCTTTGGCTGACCTGTCGGCCATTCCTAGCTCATCAAGAGGCCCGAGCAATCTGGGGTCCATTCAGCAGGCGGTGCAACATGACAAGTTGGGTAGACCGATACATTTTCTGGGGAAGGTGCAGATCTGTAACAACTTTAACTACACAGTGTGTAATTATAGTCAATGTAGACTATTGCATATTTGCGCTAATTGTTTTCCGGACTTGATAGGACAACTTGACTAAGCCGGTGTAACGCTTCCGGTCTGGTTCCGGTTGGATCTCAGCTACAGACAGTGTGTCACGATCTGGGATCAGGCTTGGAGTCCAGTAGCTGAAACAGCAGGGAAATTTGTGGTATAACAGGCTGGGTTCGGTACACAAGCAGACGGTAGTAGTTTAGGAGCAGGCAGAAGCGTAGCCAGCGAACAAGCCGAGGTCAGTAGCCAAAAGGTATCAGGTACGAAGCAGCAGACGATGAGAGTAGTCGGTGAATCAGCAGCCAAAAGGTCAGTGCACGGGTAGCAGTATGAGTAGATTGTAGCACAGAGGGAGCAGGAGCAAGATAATGGCAGGAGCACAATAATCTGGCAAACAGGAAGCGCAGAGGCATGGCTTAAATAGGAAGTTCAAGGGAGGAGCAAGAGGTTCAGGGTTCAGCAGGCACTAGGTTTAACTGAGGATTTCACAGGAGATCAGGCAAGGAGCTATCCAAGGTTCTAAGGTGGCTCAACAGGTAGAACCACTGCCAGCTACAGCAGAGGCCCTGGGTTCAGATCAGGTTCCTGACAGTACCCCCCTCCTTCCAAGATGGCCCTTGGACATCCTAGGATCTGGTTTGATTCTTTTGTCAGCCTAGGGGCATGAACATCTATAGGTTCCCATGAATTCTCCTCCGCACCATATCCTTACCATTGAACAAAATATTGCAATTTGTTCCTGAACATTCTGGAGTCCAGAATTTTGTCAACAATAAATTCTTCCTCACCTTCTACATCAACAGGTGGAGGGGGTGGAAGAACTCTCCCGGAAAAAGGATTTTCATGAAATGGCTTGAGCAACGAGACATGAAAAACAGGGTGAATCTTCATGCTGGCAGGAAGTTGTAAGCGGAATGCAACTGGATTGATTTGAGACGAAATTTGAAAAGGCCCCAAAAACTTTTGGCCCAGTTTAGAAGATGGAACATGTGTCCTTAGATTTTTAGTAGAGAGCCAGACCTTGTCGCCCAAGTGGGAAGGGCTCTGCGATGCCTGTCAGCTGCCCGTTTGAAATTCTGCTGAGCCTCCTTCAGTGTCTCAATTAGTTTCTCCTGAGTCTCCTGTAAGGCAGTCAATCTGTCAGTCACAGCAGGAATCGGAGTTGAGATAGGGAGGTTAGGAATAAAAACAGGATGATAACCAGTATTAATGTAAAAAGGGCTCAGTGAAGTGGAGCTGTGTTTAGAATTATTATAAGCGAACTCTGCTGTAGGAAGATAATTCACCCAGTCATCCTGAAGATAGCTGACAAAACAGCGCAGATACTGCTCCAAGGTTTGGTTGGTCCTCTCAGTTTGACCGTTAGATTGAGGATGGAAAGCAGAGGACAAATTAGTTGAAACGCCCAGGGCTGTGCAGAAACTCTTCCAAAATTTCGAGGTAAACTGCACTCCTCTGTCAGATACCACATTATCAGGGATGCCATGCAATCTGAATATCTCTCGGACCATCAGCTCTGCAGTTTCCTCAGAAGTGGGTATCTCCTTGGTTGGGATAAAATGAGCCATCTTTGTAAAATGGTCAACGACCACTAAGATAGTAGTCATTTCCATAGAGGGGGGAAGATCGACTACAAAGTCCATAGAAATTGACCCCCAAGGTCTTAATGGGACTGGCAGAGGATGAAGCAACCCCAGCGGAGAGGATCGAGGTGTCTTGTGACGTGCACAGGCCAGACATGAAGAAACATAGGATTTGACATAATTCTTGCAACCGGGCCACTAAAAGGAACGTGATAAAAGTTCTGCAGTCTTTGTGGCACCGAAATGCCCACCCACTTTAGAGTCATTAACCAGCCTGTGGGCCTCTACCCGTGCGGATTCTGGTACGTAGAGACGATGGTCTTGAGTCCAATAGCCGTTCTTATAGAAGAGTTAAATATCTTTGGGGGGAGGGGGGGGGCAACTGAGGAGTGGGTCAT